TCCAATTTTGACACAGTGATGGCTTTTCCTACCATGATGCTATACACCAACTATCACAAGCCTAGGTCGAGCCGTTTAGATTTGTGCCGCAATTCTGCATTTCCTCCATATACCTTAAGTTAAGGAGTGAATGTTCCCTCTTCTTTTACACCTCTTGACCTTTGACCTTTGACCCCCAGCTTCGACATCCCAACTCGTTTTGACAATTCCCCCCGATGTGCCGAATATCGTGACTGTACGTCAAGCGGTTAAGATTTGTGCCCAACTGTTGACGCACAGACGCACGGACGGCCGGACGGACAATCATGCGATTCTACAAGCTGCATCTGATTACGTCAGATGAGCTAAAAATACACTCTAATTTTAATATAAATGAATTGAAAAACGTGCTTAAAATATACCTTTGTCTTGCACAGCAACTTTAATCCTTGTGTTTACATCTTTTTCGAGAGATGCCATCAATATTTTTTCTGCCAGTTGATATGCTCTAGTTTCTGCATCAATAGCAGAGATGAAGGGTTCTGATCTTGCTACCAACAGGTCATTAAACATCAACCTTGTAGATATGGTCATAGGATGCAATGGAATGGTTTTGGCATCTTGAAATACATTTATTTTGATGTTGGCTTTCTGAAATCAAAGAACACAAATGGTTTGAAATTGAGCCGATCTCATTCGCCCCTGGCAAATGATTTTTTTATTTCTGGCCATAGGAAGTGAATGACAGAGGATTTGTCTAACCTTATGCACTTCTTGGCTATACTATGCCAAAACAATCCAATAAACCAGCAGAATTTATTTGTAAAAATTACAATGCCGCACTTTAAATTGAAATTGCAAGATACAACATGTATTTTTTCAAAAGTGATATTCTTCCGTATTACTGTGAAAAATATTTTAACGAGACGCATGAAAAATAAATAACTGACGTGTTTCTGTGCTACAAAGTAAGTTTCTGAAATGCCTCTTTTAGCCACCAGAGGATTGCGTGCAACATGAGCTACTAACTTGGTAAATACAGCAATATAATACTAACCTTAGCAGCACTGTAAAAAGATGACCGCAATGAGTTCAGATTCCTCTCTCGCACAGCTGAGCTCGAACCTTCTGCAAACCTCTTCGCCCGTCTGTAAATGACGGCTACTTTGCAGAGCATCTGCTTTTGCTGCTGCTGGACAACGTCTTCTACAAGCTTCATGCCTGGTGCCATTGCAATAGTTTGTTTCCTCGTTCCTTCATGATTGCCACCAGTCGGTCTGACCTGGGATCCTTTAATTGATATGGTTGTCATTGACTGAGGTGACCGTTGATGCTCCATTTAGATGATTGTATTCGCAACCTAAATAAACCCAGAGAGATTACATAAGTGTACATTCACAGTTCAATATTTTGACACAAACACTCAATAGGTACTAGTAGATAATAGTACATAGTAGATCACTGTGTGGGATGGATGTCCGGACGCGTAGCCACGGCCTATTGAATATGTAGCCGGGGGTAACCACCGCTACGATGAGGAAGAACGCAACTCTTTCTTGGAATTGTAAAAAAAAGCTGCAAAAGGGTTGTAACCTGCTTTGCCATTCAATTACATAATTTAACCCATGCATCAGGTGCTGATTTGTACAGACGCGCGTCTATTATACTTCGCAATAATTAATTGGTAGGCTATCATGTATGTGTAACAATATTGTCGACGTGCACGCCAAGCGCTAGTCCGAGATACCTCTGACCAATGCCCACACCGACGATTTTGGTGGATTTGGTGTGGGTTAGGTCAGAGCAACTTGCCTATACAAAACGTGGAATTTCTCCGATCCCGCCGAGGATCGCTGTTTCATCGCTCCAAACTCACAATTGGGGCTATCAATCAAGATCTGACGCACATATATCAAAAACTGGATCACTTATATGCTTGCTCGCGTTGGTAAGTACACTTGTACTCTTTTACCTTAGTCGTATTTCGATTTGAAAATTTGTTGCTAACAATTTCCCTCCGACATGCATCGGCCATCCATCATGCATCCAACTGCATTGTGGGAAACCACGCTACCAAATCACTAATACGCTACTCTGTTGTTTCCCACAATGCAGTTGGATGCACGATGGATGGCCGATGCATGTCGGAGGGAAATTGTTAGCAACAAATTTTCAAATCGAAATACGACTAAGGTAAAACTAAAAGAGTACAAGTGTACTTACCAACGCGAGCAAGCATATAAGTTAGGCAGTGGCTACGGGTACGGTAGCCGTATCTTAATGTCTCGAGGCTACGGGTACGGGAGTCCATTCGCTTTCATACTTAACGAGACAAAGATGGCGGCGGTGGCGCCAGATTTCGAAATAACGCCTTGGGAAATAAATTCACGATTTGAGAGTTTAGATGAGCTAGAACCCTAACCCTAAACCTAACCATAACCCTAAACCTAACCCTAACGCCAAAAAGGGGCTTCAACGACCGACGGCTACCGTACCTCCAGCCACTGCGTATAGGTGCGGGCGGACATACGGGAACTTTCCCACATCCGGGACTTTCTTAACCTAGCAACCAGCTGTGCCGGTGAAAACAACAGCCGGTCTCCGTGAGCTTACACACGCAATACCCCATTTTCAAACCAAAAGCATCTTAATTTCCTTTCATATATGCCGAAAACTTGTGTAGTAGTAGGTTGTCACAATCATATATATTGCACAGATAATAAAAGATGTTTTTTTGAGCTGCCAAAATGACATAAGAGTCCAGAGAGGCGTGATAAGTCATAAGTGGCTGACTGCCACTTAAATGTAAATGAGAAAATGTAAATGGTACGCACTGGAGTCCGTCAAAATTCTTCACTATTTGTTCTGATCATTTCGTGACAGGTCAGGGTTCTCCCTACGTTGCGCAAACTGGGCGCGCGCGCCCCGTTTGGGAAAACTCCCCCCTGTTTGAATCGTTGCGCCCCGTTTGAATTACCTCCGCCCCGTTTAAATTCCACCACAATAAAAGTTTGCCAGCGCGGGAATCGACCGTCAAGAATTGCCGTTCGACCTGGACACCCGACGCGTGTATTTTTACCGTACAACGCATGCACTGCAGACAGTACACAAGTTAACCTGACAATGCACAGTTAACCTGTAACTAACTGTACCCCGACTCGGCTATCTTATATATACAAGAACCCCAAATACCGTCTATGGTGTGGTGGCGATTTTACGCATTAATTAGTCGTACGATAAAAAAACACGCCCCCGGACCCCCCTGGTTCCCCCCCCTCCCCTCCCCTCCCCCCTGTTTGAATTTCATCCTGGGGAGAACCCTGCAGGTAACTACTATTTTATAACTGCGTGTGTGTGTGCGTGCGTCTGTGCGTGTGAGTAGTGTGTCACTGTGTGTGCGTGCGTCTGTGTGTGTGCGTGCGTGCGTGTTTGTGTGTGCTTGTGTGTGCGTGTGTGTGCGTATGCGTGTGCGTGTGACACTGTGTGTGCGTGTGCGTGTTTGTGTGTCACCGTGTGTGCGTGTGCGTGTGCGTGTGCGTGTCACTGTGTGTACATGTGCGTGCGCGTTTGCATATGAGTGCGTGCAGCGTGTGCGTGTGCGTGCATGTGCGTGTGCGTCCGAGTGTGTCACTGAGTGTGCGTGTGCGCGTGCGTGTTTGTGTGTGCGCGTGTGTGCGTGTGCGTATGCGTGCGAGTGTGACACTGTGTGTGCGTGTGCGAGTGCGTGTGCGTGCGTCCGAGTGTGTCACTGCGTGCGCGTGCGCATGTGCTTGTGCGTGTGCGTGTGTCCTTGTGTGTGCGTGTGCGCATGCGTGTGCGTGCGAGTGTTTCACTGTGTGTGCGAGCGCGTGTGCGTGTGCGTGTGAGTGTTAGTGTGTCACTGTGTGTGCGTGTGCTTGTGTGAGCGCGTGCGTGTTTGTGTATGCGTGTGCGTGTGCATGTGCGTGTGAGTGGGTCACTGTGTGTGCGTGTGTGTTCGTGTGCGTGTGCGTGCGAGTGTGTCACTGTGTGCGTGTGCGTCTGCGTGTGCGTGTGAGTGTGTCACTGTGTGTGCGTGTGAGTGTGTCACTGTGTGTGCGTGTGCGTGTGTGTGCGTGTGTATGCGTGCGCATGTGTAATCTTGGACTTTGTTTTTGTTTCACGAGACCTGGGGTAATTTTATTCAACTAATGCAAAGCAAACAAATAAGAATAGCTTAAAATATTTTATGTTTGCAGTGCATCTATATGTATCTTACATAATGTCATAATTATAGCTACAGAAAGGCTACCTATAATATACTCGTAAGGCATATTAGAAGAAATTTAATGAAAAAAACTTATTAAAACTTCCAAACCAAGTGACGGATAATTTGTATCGTTATGCAGTAATCTATGGGCGCCAGTGACGCGATCGTGTTGTTTTCACCGGCGTTCTGCTAGTGGTCACGTGACTACTGATCTGTGACGTAGCACCGCCCGCACCTATAACTTATAAGTTATCCAGTTTTCGATATATATGCGTCAAATCTTGATTGATAGCCCCAATTGTGAGTTTGGAGCGATGAAACAGCGATCCTCGGCGGGATCGGAGAAATTCCACGTTTTGCATAGACAAGTTGGTCTGACCTAACCCACACTAAATCCACCAAAATCGTCGGTGTGGGCATTGGTCAGAGGAATCTCGGACTAGCCAAGCGTGCGCAGGGGGGTTGATTCGCGCGAAGCGTGGAATCTGTACTTGTAGCATTAATTAAAACGGGAGACGTAATAAACAGTGCTCTCCTCACTCTCAATGGTTATCAATCAAACATATCAATCATAAATACCTGTAATATTTAATTGTATATTATTCCTTACAGTTATTTGAGTTTGAGCATTTCGCTTGCGAGATTACTACTAAGATGGCGATTATTTTAGCGCCACCTGTTGACTAAATATCAGACCACAAATTATCTCATAATATTGACACTGTCTGTAGTGACACCTTAGAAATAATATAGATAATCTATATTATTTCTATGAGTGACACTAACCTCATAAAAAGTAGTCTTCAAAAGTCCAAGGGACTATAACGAAACTCGTGCATGTTTGCATGTATTATTTTTAAGAATATATATTGTCATCCAACAGAAAAAAGCACCAAGTGTGCTTACCTTCATGAATTAGAATGTGTAGGTAGGGTGTATGCATTTATAAGCTGTAGGCCTAATGTGAAGTTTAACGTCACTAATTTTGTCGCAAAACAACACTTAATTGATAATAATTCTTGATTATAGAAATGTTCATTCAGCAATCCTATTGCATCATTTTCAGTAGAGCAATATTTATTACCTTGATGTGATCGATTCGTTGATTTCCTCAATGTGATAGAATTGTTCAATTTCTCGGTGTGGATCGATTCGCCGATCTTTTCAATGTTGATCGATGCGTTGAATTTCTGGACGTGCGCAGGACTCTATGTCAGCGACCATTGGTCGCTGCATGTCGCTTGGTAGTTGATCAGAACTCGAACAGAACCCTCTCGTTGCCATCGACGATTCACATCATCTGGATTCAGAAGAGATCTCCCCTTCTATCCTCTTCTATGAGCTTCTATCCCCGTTCTATTCCTCTGTCGAGTTTTCTCGTGGGGTGTGTGGGTGGGGGTGGGGGAGGGAGAGATAGCGACTTCTATTGTTCATGGTCATGGCGCTCAGGTAATTATATCAGGGGTGTCATAATATCAGGAGTAGATAATAGAAGATTCTATATTCTTCTATTATCTACTCCTGATAATATCAAGAGCGTATTAAGAAGGCTCTTAATATAAATATAAGTATACGTAATTATATTATTATTATATATTACGTATATAACTTATAATTATATATTACGTATTACATAAGTATAATTAGTATATATACTCTAATTAATTAGTATTAAGAAAGCTTCTTAATACGCTCTTGATAATATATATCATAATATCATGAAGTGTATAAATATCATTATATAAGTGTTATAGGCCAATTATATATATATATATATATATATATATATATATATATATATATATATATATATATATATATATATATATATATATATATATATATTATACAGGGGCCGCGGAACGATGTTTGAAGTCGGGGTGCTAAATTTGTTACGATCCAGTAGAGCGATTTTGTGATAGCGCCGGTGCTAGTGGTGGGTACGAGAGGGGGTTGTCTCCTCCCGCGCGAAGCGCGGAAGCTCTATAGCACTAATTAAAACGGGGGACGTAATAATTAGTGCCGAAATGCCGGTACAGCGATGTTTAAATGTTTTCACGAATTACACTTCCATGTGGTTTTATTTATTTCGGGGCACTGGCGGATCCGGGATTTCAATGATGGGATGAGAAACAGGCGGGGGGGTATACTATTAGTTCTCCCCAATGAAATTTTGAAAATGTAGATCACAGGAGATGGTATTTGAGGCACTTTTGAGCCTTATTCTGATTTACAGCACAGCCTTCATTCTGACTACGACAATTCTCTTTTTAGTAGAGTAATTCTCTTCATGATCAATAAGATGTGTAATCACTAAATATCACTATAACGAACCATACATTTTTAGTTTAAACTCTTTCTTGGAATTGTGAAAAAAGCTGCAAAAGGGCTGAAACCTGCTTTATCACTCAATTACATAATTTAACCCATGCATCAGGTTCCGTTTTGTACAGCCGCGCGACTATTATACTTAGCAATAATTAATTGGTATAATATACCAACACAATCATATTATGTGTAAAATATTGTTAGACCAGCAGAGGGAGGTGGGGGTGGCCAGCCACCCAATCCACCACCCCTCTTAATCCGCCACTGCGGGGGTATATAGTTTTGAATAGTGTTTGTACATAGTGAACTTTGCACATATGACATCAAAAGAGGAAGATGTGTATAAACGACCCATGTTCTTAACTTTCTTCATAAATCAAAATTCATCAGAATACTGAATAACACTTTAGCCCCATAGCTGACGACACCATTATACAGGGCGGTATGGGGAGTCTGGGTTTTCAACAATGTATTCAGTACGTGGGTATATGGCCGTCATTTACGGTTATATTTTGGAATTGTGATTTTAGAACTGCATTTTCTCGTATTAAAAAAAATAAAAGATTGTTATATTATTCGAATAGCTTCAAGTTTTAACATTTATGTGGCAACATCTTGAGAATAAATCGTAATTATAAATAAATCGTTAAATCATCAAGTTGACGCACACCTTCTTCAAGTCCGATTTTTAGATTAAACGGTTTGTTTCACTTCAAAACAGAACGCCTGACAGAGCGTGAAAATATTCACTTGGTTAATGGAGAGTGAACTATTTTCTTTCTTTTTTTATTCAATAATTTTGTTGACTACCGTCCGCTCGATCGACCAGTTAACAGAACAATCCAGTCACGATCCTAAAAAACCCTTTCTTTCTTTTCTCTTTCCTCACTATCTCCCTCATTTAATTTTATGTGGCGTCAAAAAAGTGGGGGTGCCTGAGCCCCCTTAGCCCCCCGTTCCGCGGGCCCTGATCTCTCTCTCTCTCTCTCTCCCCAGCTAACACAAAAACGTTATTATAACGTTTTTATAACGTTATGCAAAAGTTGTTATAACGATTTTTGTAACGTTTATATAACGTAAATATGTAGGGTTTTTATAACGTTTATATAACGTTTGTAAAAACGTTTTTATGTAACGTTAACATAACGTTATTGTATGGGCAACGTTGAAATATACGTATTTAACACTCTCACTTCACGCACTAACGTTTGATGTATGATCACGGGCTGTTTTCTACTGAACAGCGTAATTGTATATGTGCGCGTTGGCGTGCGTGGGCAAAATTTAAAAATTATATACTAGATATATATATATATATAATATTATATTAATGGAAAACAATAGCCATTCACTCCAACACACTCCCCACGCCCCGGTTGTACGCGAGTTTTTCTGAGCATATCTACACGTAGGAATTGGTTTACGACATATAGAAACTGCTTAACTACAGTCAGCAATCACACCGCCCAAATTTTCTAAAAGCTAAAATACCGTCACTTCAGTAAAATTTATAACTTACAATAAAAACGACATATTTACACACTATATACCTCATATTATATATATAGATATATTAATATATAGTATATATATATTATATTGTGTTGTATATCAGTTATATATGCTATATATATATATATTTCAATATCAACATCTAACAACATCAAAGTTGTAAATTTATAATGAAATTAGATTCGGTTATTTTAATCTTGCCTTATTGCACACATTAATACAATACAGTGTTAATTGCTGAATACAAACATCCAGATAGAACATTATTATATATACTATACACATATACATATGAAAATCACGAACCTTTCTATATAATTATTTCGAAGATAATATAAGCGATAATTACAATCAAGAGGCTAATAATACCTATTATAACTAGGAAGCTGAGCTATAATCAAGGTATTATTAGTCCTCGTTACTTATACATAGTGATAATTTATCCGAATACGCTTCTAGGTAAACATTGATTATATACATAGAGTTATATAGATAGTTAAATTAGCATAGATAGATAGTATTAACACAAACACATCATTGTATCAATCTCTCTCTGTGGGTGATTGTATATATATACATAAACTTCTTGGGCTTTTGATTTATTCTCTCCTCCGCATTATGCCTCCTTACTATTTCTCTATGTAGTATCTCTCTCTCTCTCTGTGCTGTTGCTGTGTCTCTCTCTCGCCCACCTCTCCACATCTCCTCAGCACTGAGTGTTCCGGTATGGAGATGCCTTTTTGGTTATCCCATGTCACTGCACTCTCTCTCTTCTCCGAAAACAAAACGCTGCCACAAACTGTTACGTACGCACTCTATATCATATCATAATATTATTCTCTCTCTCTTATTATTCATCTATATCCTACTATAGTAATATCATTCGTTATCATAGTCATAATAGCATTTATGCATACTAAATTATTCTGCGTGACTGTGCAAAAATATAGAACTATACAGGACAGTTTAGTTACATGCTATATGGCCAGTATCAGGTTCATTTAATTACCTTCAACTCTGTCACTAAGTCCCTCCTGCCCCTCTCTCTCGCCCTTTTCTTCCCCGCCGTCTCCTCCTCCCCGCTCCCCTCCGTCCCCCTCTGCCTCCTCCTCCTCCTCCCCCTCCTCCCCCTCCGCTTTCTTGCCCCCCTGTACATCACTATACATACCTCCACTCCATGCCTTTCTGGATTCAAATCAGGTCAGACTCTCAGCTTGCGAGCCGGCTCCCCATCCACACTCTCCATGCAAGTTTCCGATCGCGGAAAGCGACTCCAGTCGTGCTTCAAACGAGAACAGCGCCAGCAGTATGAATAATAATCATGTAGGCACACTCGAATCTGCTGGTTACATGCTCCGCTCTCGCTCGCCACCACGCCACGCCACGCACACACACACACCACCACACACACACACACTACCCACGCTCGCTCACCGTCTCCGCCCCACGCGCTCGCGCGTACTGCATATACAGAGCTAGCCTCTAAGAACCGTATACTTTCCCGCTAGTCGCCACGTTGTGAAGGAGCAAAGGGCTTTATTCTAAGCATACTATGTCCTTATACAACCAACTGACAAAGGCACGCCTGTCGGGACGTGGCCACACTTTACTTTAGCCATTTTAAAAATTCCACTGAACACTCACACCCTCCACCACTCACTCTTATAACACCATACGCTAACCAGCAGAAATCGGTATAATAACTATTATGAGCCCAGCCTCACACACTCATATATTTTACCTCTGCGCCGCCCTCACTTGGTTGCCTCGACACCCCGTTTCCGCAATTCAAACACTTTCTGCACCGGTACTATCCCACT